TGTATTAGATGGTAAGAGGCACTGTTGCGCACAGTTGTCCGTACTCACAGTCCATTCATAACATCTAACATATGGTTAACTGCTTTTAAGAAAAGTGGGTGTTAATTGTTGAGAATCTAGTAATGTAAAAATGTTCAAGTTGGTAATAGTGATCTATATTCATTTGTTTTTGTTTTGTATTGTAATAAAAAGTTTCTTCTCATCCAACATGGCTGTCAAGTGATATGTAAGCATGACACAAAGAAAATCAACAGGTTATGGGCTCAGATTTGTTCAAAAACTAAAAAAAAAAAGAGGACAAGGCAGAAGAAGAATAATGAAAAAATGGCAAACACAAGACAGAAGAGGTAACTCATCTGCCAAAACTGAAGGACGCCAACTCATTTCCAATGTGGGATTTTGAAATCAAGATTCTGATGCGTGCAAAAGAACTGATAAACATCGTTGATGGCAGCGACCTGTTAAGTGACCTAGGAAGAGACGAAGAAAATATAAGGAAATGGAAGATGTAACAATGGAGGGAAATATAAGAACAACACCTTGAGAGAATGGTGTACGAACAAGGGGATAGTAATGGAATTTACTACACCATATTCGCCACAGCTACACGGCACTGCTGAAAGGATGAACTGTACCATTGTGGAAAAGGCAAGAGCATTGATTTTTTACTCAGGTTTAAGTAAGAAAATGTGGGGTGAAGCTGTACCCACTTTTGCATACCTGCTAAACAGAAGTCCAACAGTGACAGTGAATGGAATGCCAGTGGAAAATTGGTATGGTAAAAGACCAGATCTGGCTGGATTGAAGATTTTTGGTTCAGAAGTGTACACTAAAATTCTTGGACCATTGAAAAAGTTGGACAGTCATAGCAAGAAAGGAATATTCGTTGGATACAACACAAATGGCTACAGAATATGGGATCCAAATACTGAAAGGACCCATGTCTCCAGAGATGTGACATTCACAAGTAAACCTGTGACAACAAATAAAAGGAAATGGAAAAAGTGACGGATCCAGAAGACAAGCCAAATACTCCAGATCAGGAAGATAGCAAAATGCAGCAAGAGCCCGAAGCTGACAACAATGAAGAAGAACCAACAGATACTGAAGAGGATGAAGAAAATGAAAATGCTGACCACAAGGATAATGGAAGGAAAAACAACAGACAAGATGAACATGGATATGAATTGAGACCAAGAAGAAACATTCAAATGCACCCAAAGTACCGAGACTATCACACAGGGAGTCAAAAGGAGGGTATGCTCACCTATACATATGGCGAGTGCATGGAGAGCGAAGACAGCGAGAAGTGGAAGAAAGCCATTAAAGAGGAAAAGGATTCGCTCTACCAAAAGAAAACTTGGATATATGTAAACAGAGAGAAAGCAATGGCCAAGAAAATTCTGACCAGTAAATGGGTTTTCAAAATAAAGGATGATGGAAGACACAAAGCCAGACTGGTTGTGAGGGGATGCCAACAAAAGGACCCTTTTGCAGCAGCTGAGTGCTGTAAAGAACTGAAATATCTAAAAACGTTGATAGAGGAGTTGACAGGAAAAAGGGTGGAAGCTGAACTGTGTGCCGACAATCAGAGTGCAATCAAGCTAATAGAATCTGGAAAAGTAATGCGTAGGAGTAAGCACATAGATGTAGCGGCCTCCGTAGTCTAGAGGTAACGTTCCCACCTCATGACTCGTGGTACGCGGGTTCAAAACCCGGTTGAGGTCGTCGAATTTTTAAGGGCGGAAAAATTCATGGAACAAGTCGTCCGGGAGGGACTTTAAGCCGTGTGTCCCGTGCCGTAGCTTTACGGCATGTAAAAGAACCTCGTATCTCCAAAGGAGGTCACTGAGCCAAATTCAAGGACGTTTCCCGCCCAACAGTAGTCTCTAATGCCTCTGATAGATGGGGGAAGCATTAGAGACACCACCAAGCCAGTGGAGGCCGAACTCGCTGGCTCGGCAGGACTGATGGTATGCACCAATATCGGTAGGGTATAGAGACTGGTAGAATATCATAGAGGGAAGCACAATGGACCAATACTGGTCTAAGTGCATGAGGAAACCCACCCTCTCCAATAACTAACTAACTAAGCACATAGACGTTAGGTATCACTACATAAGTGAACAATTGAAAGAGAAACTGTTCTCAATCAAATATTGTAACACTGGAACTCAGTCTAGTCCTGAAACAGCCAGGGCCACGCTGATTTATCTCTGAGCATTCTTCTGAATCAATTACAAGACCAGCACTCAGGCTGAACTATTAAAAGATATTGTTAATATAATTTTACTTTTACACAATTTCTTCTGGGACTTGGTATTAATTTATTAAACATTCTTCACACAATGCTATGTGAGGTGGGACACCTCAGTAAGTGACTTCCTATAGGCTCGATAATCCAATTTGAGACCGATTTTCATCTTCATCACAATACTGGCTTCTTATAATGGTTACCAGAGGCTCATTGCACAAGACCATGAAAATGGCCACTCACCCACATTACGAGTTGAGGTTATGAGTATCTGGCATTTTACCTGCTCTCCCCAAACATGCTTTCATGGCATGGTGCTTAGGCAGTTTTACTTTAAGTTAACAATATAGACATCCCTGCAAACCAGGAATTGTGATTAATGTGTACAAATTGGATTCCCTTTTCAGTTGTAGTAAAATATTATATTCAATTTTGTAAGAGGCTAATTAATAAGTTATTGAAGAAAGCAGTCTTCTGGATGTGGCATCATGTAGATATTGTGTTAACCGACGTTTTGGAGGAACATATCGCCTCCATCTTCAGGGTAGTAGAAGACAAGAAGAAATATGCGAGCAAACCAGCATGAGCAGGTGCAATAGACTGAGTCCAGTTGAGTAAACTCAACTGTATAAGAGTAGGAAGAGAAGTGAGAGGGGCTACATGGGGAATTGGTAGACAGGGGGGTGGGGAAGGGTCTGGGGACGTGAGCCAGCAGGTAACAGGCCAGAGCAGGTTCTCACTTCTCTTTCTACTCTTATACAGTTGGGTTTACTTGACTGGACTGAGTCTGTTGCACCTGCTCACGCTGGTTCGCTAGTGGAACTCATAGTGCCTCAAGCAACTGCGCTACAGCATCCCCCCACCCAGATTAAATGTATAAATTACTTCAGAACTGCAGTATTTTCTTATGGAATGAAAGAAATAAACGTTTATGCTAAGTCAGTTTATTGAAATATATAAACGTGCATAACAGATAGTACCCTGTGCTAAATCCTGGGAAGAGTGTTTTTTTAATAATAATATTGTCACATGTTTGGAATCCAGAAGAGCTACTTCCATGGAAACGCTAGAACAGACCGTTGCACAGGAAGTAACAACAGCGGTATTGTAATCCCAACAATGGGTCGTTGAGTAGGAATCATGGAATCAACAAAGCAGCATTTCCCCAGTGATAGACAACAGAAGGTTCAGTGCATAGCAACCGCCGACGTTATAAAAGCCCAGCTTCGACAAGAGACGGTCAGTCTCGGGATAGACGCTGAGAGATAAAGAAGTCAGTCTCGGGATAGACGCCGAGAGATAAAGAAGTCAGTTTGGAATTAGTCGCCAAAGAAGTTAGTCTTCAGGAAGCTGCCACTGAAGATAGATGGAGATACAGATGTACTGGCCGCAAAATTGTGTGAGCAGTAATTGTCATACTGCAAGTGCCAATGGTTGTAAAGTGTGTAAGTGTGAGCGAATTACAATAAAGATTCACTATATTTAATATGGCGTAAAGTTATTTGTAGCTTGACATACCCAAACACGCTACAATATAATTACACAATACTCACAGTCCTATTATAATTATATTTAAAAAAACACTCGAGTGTAATGTGAAATATCTTACAATTTAGAACCTCAGGTGTGGTTTGTTGTGGATCATGTATCTGAAAAAATGGATAAAGCAAATCAGGTAACTTCCTTCAGACTTTTAAGAGACAGGATGATTGTTTCTTCTGAGATATAACATTTCCTGAAATATATGTTAAAATATCCGCTCCGAATATGTGTCGTTCAAAGTGATGTATTTGTATTACACATGTGACATAAGATTTTAAAGTCCTCTGATCAAATCTCAGACTGGATACCCTAAAATACATCATTTCCTCAGTGACACCAGATGAATGAAAGAAAATTCTTCCATGATTGCTCAATTCCCCTATCATAATCTTCCTCACATAAATCATTGTGAACTCTGTCTCTACTTCAGTTGGATGGAATATACGAATACTGATACAAACACCAGAAAATCTTCACAACATTGAGAACAGGTGATGACCTACAGTATTGAGTTCCAATCTGTTACAAATAAAATTTGAAGTGACTACATATGTCTTTCTTGTTTTACATATTATTCAGTAATGCCAAACTGACTGCATGATGTGAGGAGAGTTATTACTTGCAATTTTGAACGGATCAAAGAGAATGTAGATGTGGAACATACTATAAACATACTCTACTCATACAAACCTACACATATAGTTATTGAAAAGTTCATTTAAAAGAGCAGAAGTCTTTATAGATACTATAGGGCTCTGACGATGGTGTATAACACACAGAGATGCTGGATTTTCTGACTCCCAATCTACCTTGTTCCATGCATGTGCATGCTTGGAACAATTTTTAGTGTATACTTTTCCCGTTAGCTCTCATGGACTTAGCCTGGTCTCAGGTGTTTATAGCCTTAGTGTTTTGTGACATTGGCTGTCCAGTGATTGAGGCTAGCTCTTTCTAAGGGACCCAACAGAATAGGTGTCTTCCCTTACCTGAGGATGGAAACAGATCCAGTTTCAGAAACGTGTTTTTTCTTAGTTATTTAGATTCCGGACGATGGATAAAGTCTGAAAACCCAGTATCTCTGTGAGAAGTCTTTGTGATTCTTTAACATTTATCATTATGATTATAGTATGATTCATGTGAACAAACCTTTCCATTATTAAAATTACTGTACAAATTCAAGCATACTATAAAACTTCCCACTCACCTATCCAGTCTCTCCCAAAAGGTCATCAATGCTGCATAATCCAAATGGCGTTTTGTACGAGAGACTTCAATAATATGTACAGCCCAACCACTCACATTAGCATCCAACTTCATCTCATCATATTTGACATGAAATGCACAGACTGAAAGAGAATAGAGCATAGAAAAGTCTCATCAATTTTTGTAGATGACACTAGCTGCATTACTGATATGGAGTTTAAGGAAGCAGAAACGCACACAATAAAGAATTCTGTTACTTCACCACAAATGACTCGTGAAGTACTTCAGAATAATATGCACATCATAAATTTAAATAATTCTTATCTTGGAATTTACTTACTTACTCATGGAGCTGAGCCCTTCTTGAGGAGAAGCGAAATCTGCAACTACTCAAGAATTTCCCAGCATTTTATGGAACCCGAAGGTTCATTACCGTGACAATTACAAAAAACAAGTCTGTCCAATGTGACTATTTCAGTTTTCTCACTTGCTGATTCACTTGCCTTACATGTTTCGATCCATTTGAATCATCTTCAGAGGCACCAAACACTTTTTAGAAACCACTATCACAACAATTGTCATATCAAATACACATGTAATGTCCAAGTACACAATGTTCCATCTATCACTCACAACAGCCTTTCTGGTTATAGAAATATTTAAAGTTGTTTTAAAGTTTTAAAAACTTTGTTAAAAATTAAAATACATAAACCATACGGTTCGTGTCAATAAATCCTGTCATCTCTCTTCAAGGTGGCCGATCTTGTGCCTCCTATGTAACTTGATTAGGGAGATTCTGTAAATATACTGTATTAATATCAGCGATCCTACTATATATATTGTCGCGTATTGGGCGTATAATGCGACAAATAACTTCACACCATATTTGATATAGCGAATGTTATTTCACATTCGCACTTACAATCACACAATTGACAGTTTTAGAACTACTACTATCTGCAGTATCACAAATACTACACTCCAAATGCCACAATACAACTGATTGGTTGCTGGCTAACTCAGAACTAACTCGGAGGTAGCTCGAGGACTAACTGTGAATAGCCTTCGCTGCTCCTCATGTAGCCTCGATCGGACAGTACAGAAAACGGCCACGTAATAAGCACCCTTGTTGCCTGGCGCTGTGT